AAGAACAACCAATGTTCTTAACCGCTGAGCCATCTCTCCAGCCCTGAATATATACCAACTGTAGCCCCAGTTGGCCTGGAACTCACAGAGACCTGCCTACCTCTGCCTTCTGAGTGCTGGGATTAAAGGTATGCACCATCATGCCCGGCCATAGACTATATTCTTAAAATCACAATTAAAAGTTGGGGTTGGGGAGATGGCTCAGTTGGTACAGTCAAGGATGAGGACCTGTGTCTGGATCCCCAACACCCATGTAAGAAGCCATAGGGGAGCACTTGCCTGTAATCCCAGAACTAGGGAGTCAGAGCTTGTTGACTAGCCAGCCTGGCCAATCAGTGAGCTCCAGATTCAGTGAAAGACCTTGTCTTGAAACAAGGTAGGGAGCCATTGAAGAAGACACCCAACCTTGACCTCTTGCTTCTATACATACGTACACATACATACTGTTTAAAAATAGCAATGATCTTAAAGTTCTAGGAAATTATGCTTAGAAAAAATTCTGTAAATTGATTTCCTTTGTGGGACTGAGCTATTCTAATGTTAGCATATAGAGTACTGACCTCTGACCTATGTCCTTTTCACCCAAATGGGCCCAGCACCTGGCATAAGAAGACAAAAGCAAGTGTTCATTGAATGACTAACTGATTCAGAATGGAAGAAAGCATGGTTCGAGAGCAACTTTATAATGAGGGTTTTAGATAAGCCTGATTTTCCACAACCCTTTCAATCTAAAGAGATGTGCCCAATGGGATTCAAAACCACCAATTTATGTTTTCAACTCTAATCTCCTAAGTAGAAAACCATGTAAACCCTGAGTCTATTTTAGCAAAGATTCGAGATTGCACAGAATCGCAAACAAACAGAACAAAAAGATTGCTCTGGGGGGAGAGATGCATTTACAACTGACATGAGTGTTTTACTTTAATAGCTACAGGGAACAAAGAGGACACAGATGAGAGAACGCTTAGTCCTGACTGGGTAGGGGAGCCCAAGGGGTCAGGTGAGGTTGGATTCTAGGCTCCAGTGGAAGGCCAAACCTGAGGTCTAAGGCAGATGCCTTGGCAGGTTAAACCAGTGCTGGCCTGTTGGCCTGGCAGACCTAACTCCCAGCCAAGCAGCTAGCCAGCAGCTAAGGTCCTGAATGTCTTGTGGTTCCCAGAGTCACTACAGGGGACTTAGCACCTCAGATTGGCACTCAGCAAAGGCCAAAGACAGCATTACTCTGCAACCATGAGGGAGATGGCAGCCAGAGCCTCTGGTTGCTGTGCTCACTTTGTGTCTGGAGGAAGAAGTGGCATATGTCAAACCCCACTGAAGTGATGTACTCATCGGGGTCTGAACCCCCACCTGTCCTCTGTGGCGTTTCAGCCAGCAAGTGAAAGCTGGGACAGAGATCAGCTGTAGCTTCAAACCAGCACCTGCTGAGAGTTCTTGCCTTCCATTTATTTATTTATTTATTTATTTATTTATTTATTTATTTATTTATTTATTTATTGTGTCAACACAATTGTAAGTACATACAACCTGGAAATAAATAACCTGGAAATAAATACGGATAGGAAGAAACTTCCCTGTGAAATGCATGCTGCAGGTGTGCCACATGCCTGCTTGGAGAGAAGGAAGCAAGCAGCCCTACCTCATGAAGTTATCCCCTGAAGACAGGTTAAACAGAGGTTGAAGTACACATTTGTTGATTCCTGCCAAAGAAAAGTCCTCAGCACACCAGCCAGACACAGCCCACCTATGATAGGTGACAGCAGCTGCCACCACCTACAGGCACCCACTGTGTGCCAGGCTCTGCACTAAGACCTTATATACACCAACTGATGCTTCCTTACAATAGACACAAAAAAGACATCACTGATCTCAGTATAGACAAGGAAACAGAGGCTAAGGGAGGTCCAAGAAATTACATAAAGTCCAAAATTAATGGGTAGAACCCAAATACAAAAAAAGTTCAATATTGGTAACTACCCACACACATCTATGCATTTACATATCTGTGTAATCATTCCTCTTCCATTCATCCACTCATCTATCCATTCTTCCAACATCCATCTATCTATTCATCTGTTCATCTGTGGTGCTAAGAAGCCTATCTTCGGTATATCCTAGTAATAGCACAGACCATCCACTTTTTACCCACAGAGTTTCACCTGCCCATATGTTTCTTTGAGGACTGAATACTGCACTTTAGCTTTCTATAATGACCTTGGGTGGGTGGACCAGGTATCTCATTCCTCAGTGTCTTCCTCTAGAAATGAGAGGAGGCAAGATTCAGACAGTAAGTCTGGACTGAGCTCCAAGAAACCCCCTTCCTATTGAGAACTCTCTTTTCCTTCTAAAGAAGAACAAACTGCTGGGCATGGTGGCGCACGCCTTTAATCCCAGCACTTGGGAGGCAGAGGCAGGCAGATCTCTGTGAGTTCAAAGCCAGCCTGGTCTACATAGTGAGTTCCAGGACATCTGGGGCTACAGGGAAACCCTGCCTCAAAAAAAAGTAAAAAAAAAGAACAAACCATCAAATCCACAAATATTATTCCCTAACATCAAATATGCCAAAGAGGGCCCCAAGGACAATCATCAGCATCGTCTGACACACCCAAACTCCGGTGCAGAAATATCTGATCCGTGCCTATCATAGATGATTGGAATTGCACCATCACAGAGCCCTCCTTTGCTTTTTCAATTCAATTCTGGAATGCATTCTACAGACATTTTCAAATAGCAAATGATATGACAGAGCACATGGCAATGCAGTTTGTCATATAAAAAATTTAGAAATGACCCGGCAGAGGCTGATTGAACACATCAAGGACTTCTTATACTGAAGAATAACATGGACTATGGTACATGTCTTAGTATGTTTTCTGTTATAACAAAATACCTGAGATTGAGTAGTTTATTTTAAAAGTTTAACAATCAGGTATGATGGCATACCTTTAGGAGGTCGAGGCAGGAAGATCAAAAATTCAAGGCCAGCATGGACTACATAGTGAGTTTGAGACAAGTCTTAGCCAGACCTCTCAAAACAACAAAGCAAAATGAAATAAAAGTTTACTTGGCTGGGAAGTTCAAGATCTCAGTGCTGGCATCTGCTGAGGGCTTTCCTCCTGCATCCCGGCAGGGCAGAGGGCATCACGTGGTGAGACAGAGCCAATGCACTAGCTCAGGTCTCTCTTTCATTTGTTATAAAGCCACTAATCCCACCATGGTGGTCTAATTACCTTAGAAAGTCCCACCTTCAAATACCATTAACATACAATTTGGGGGATTACGTTTCCAGTTTGGCATCTTTGGGGAGTGTTATAGTTTCATTTCTGTTGCTGTGATGAAATATCTTGACAAAAGCAACGTAGGGGAGGAAAGGGTTTCTGCAGCTTACAATTCTGGGTTATGGTCCATCACTGCAAGGAAGCCACAGAAATAGGAGCTTGAGACAGCTGATTGCACCACAACTATGGTCAAGAGCAGAGAAACGAATGCACCAATCTGCCTGTCCACTGTTCAGCTAGCTTTCTTTACTCTTGTACAGCTCAGACTCCAGCCTAGGGAATGGTACCACCCACAATGGTCTGGGTCAGCTACTGATCCAGATAGTCCCTCACAGACATTCCCACAGGACAACTTGATCTAGATAATTGCTCAAGTGAGACTCTCCTCCCAGGTGATTCTAGACAAGTTGAGATTTAAAACTAACCAGCACAGGGGGACACATTTAAACCACAGCCAAACAGCAACACCATGAAATGTCAAATCATATAACTGTTAAATGAGCCAGCTCTTACTTTAAAAATTTTTTTAATTTTTTTTAAATTTTATGTGTATGTGTGTATTGCCTGCATGTAGGTAAGTGCCCCCATGTCGTGCAATGCCTGCGGAGGTCAGAAGAGGCTG